GGGGGGGGGCGGGGGTGAAGAGGTGAGATGGAAAACTGTGCGTACCTACGGAAAAATCCTGGCTACGCCCCTGTTACTGGTTGTCCGTAAATAAAATTGAAGGGAAAATTAAACGCTTTTTTGAGCTGGGTACTTTTGCCGCTAATAAAATCATTTTGTCAATGGTTGTTAACTTATAAAATTTGACACTCGCTGAGCTTGTCGACAAAAGCAGAAAAGAAATCGTGAAAACCGTGATAAAAAGGGTTAAAATTATTTCCGGTTTTCTTGTCGTTTGATGAAAATTAGGCTGTGCCTTTTTTATAGGTGTTTTGTAGCTGTATACATGTGAGTTTTCGCATACTTTTTATGTAGTTAGGCTTCCCGTTTGGTGCATGAAATTATTGGGCACTGGAGTCATTCGTCGCTCTCACAAGTTTCAGAATCATTGACTCCGTCTTTTGCCTGTACCGGTTTTGTACCCTCTAACAGTCTTCTCCAAGAGCAAGTCCTCTTCATCCTTTACTTCAAAACATGGCCAATCTGTATAGTCGAAGACTGAGAGAATGAAATATGCGAGGAAAAATAAGACGTGCAAAACATCGGATGTAAGAGGTTGAATGGCTCTCGATAATGTGACGTCACATTTTTCCACTATGTTGGAACAGATCGCGTCAGCCAGTTTCCTATCCAGTCTTTCTATTATCCATGGTTAAATTACTTTGGGCTGACAACCATGTATACGACACCAACAGGGCCATACGAAGTCTACTTAGAGCTGCAACCCGAAACAAGAATTAAAGGCGATGAAGTATACGAAAACGTCGTTGAGGACGAGTCTGCGACTGATGTAGTAGTACAAAGAGTTAATATGGGAAACACCAATCAAGATGGCAGCAACAGAGGACAAGCGCCACCAAGGACGTTGAATGCTTCGAGAAAAGATGTCCAGAAAATCCAACGAATGCAGCTCTTGATGGTTGTTACTGTGGTCATAACTTTCCTGACGGCGGTAGTCACTTTGGTTTTCGTAATCACGATAAAGTGGCCTCGAAACACTCCAGCTGCTTCGAAACAAGGAGCACAAGAAGGAACTATACAAGGTAGGCTGGGAAGCGAGTCTTATACCTAAATATATGACCAGAGGATACGTGAGATATAGTTCGCGGTAATTTGCAAGCATGGAAATGCGAGACTTTTGAGGGAGAAATTAAATTTAACCGTGAGACAGACCGGATAAAAATTTTCAGAGACTGGCGTTTTTGTAGGTACAATTCGTCGCCACAAGTTGGTGACCATGCAACCTAACCCCTCTTCAAATCTAGAATATGCAGTAACTACTGCAAATATGATTGCCTTTGTCTCCATTAACGTTTGGAACACTTTTTGAAATAATAACGTAAAACTATGCGGAAATGATCCCGGATAATTAATGTAATTTTTTTATTAACACCTAGAAAGAATGCATGTTTAGTACTTAATTCTTGGCACTGTCATTAAATCTTTCCTCTAGTAGGATCATATATCTCGTGACACTTAATGTAGAAGAAATAACTCCATATTCAATCTTTAACTTTTTGCAGGGGTATAATAGAGAGGCATTTGTCTTGATAATTTATTATTGTTTTTTTATTTTTATTTTGCAAGTCTAATTTTTGTCAAGCTATATTGTTCAACAATGTTACAGTTATGATTCAAAACTCTTAGGATGATACTATTCTTAGTATAGGTTATGTTGTCAAATTCTTGAGCATGTAAGAATAGTATGGACAGCAAGCTACGTGATAAATTTTGTCTTTTGTTGATTTAAACAGGCCTTAAAATTGCAACGGTTTGGTTTTGAAGTGAGAAATTACTCAGTCAATTAACATAACTCGCTGAACTGAACTGCTGCGTGGATGCCATATTTCCGGGTTGATATTGAAATTAGTTTTTATTGTAATGCAAATAAAACTCATTTTCAGAAGAAAGGTTGTGCATCTAGGAACTCAGAAATGGCCCATTCATCATTTTCAGTTGAAACAGAAAAAAAAGTTTTGGCCATCATCATCATCATTATTAATTATTTTTTAACTACCTTTCATTATCATTATCACTAATATGATTATGACGTCCATTCCTTGTAGACTCAGGCAGGATGTTCGGCCTGGTTTATAGTCCTTGGAAGCGGGTTACAACAAGTCACCACGGGTCCCAGCTCTCTCTTTTCCTTCTTCTTACAGGGACAGTACTTTCTTTAGTATCTTTGCTGTTCCCAACAATGCTGTTTTTTGGATAACTTCCAACCTCACGTTCACGCCGATTCGCTTCATGTACTCCTTAAAGTTGACTGATACGGCTCCAAGGGCCCCAATTACAACAGGCACTACAATGATTTTTCGCATGCGCCAGACTTTTGCAATTTCATCATTCAAAAGTTGGTATTTCTCTAACTTCTCAAGTTCCTTATCTTTGACCCTGTCATCACCTGGGATGGCAACATCAATTATGACAACCTCTCTCTCCTTCTTATGAATAAAGACAGTGTCTGGTCTTCTTGCCTCAATTTTCCGATCACACTGGACTGTGAAATCCCACAGTATCTTGAAGTTTTCACTTTCCACCACTCCCTCCGGCTTTTTTTCATTCCAGCTATTAGGTCTTTCCAATCCACATTTACCACAAAGTTGCCAGTGGATATACCGTGCCACGTTATCATGCCTTCCTTTATATTCTGTCTGCGCCAGCTTACCACACGCACTCACCACATGGGCCACCGTTTCTCCCTACTTCCGCACATTCTGCACAAAGGGGATTCTGTTGTGTGATCATATTATTATTATTATTATTATTATTATTATTATTATTATTATTATTATTATTATTATTATTATTATTATTATTATTACTTTTCGACCCATTTTTTGAACCTGTCGGAAACGTTTACGGCTTAAACACGAAGTTAACTTTGCAATATTTACTCAACGTGCAACGCGCAACGTGCATGTGCCTGTAAATTTTCAACTTTTCCAGTACTATACTTTGCTTTAAAGAGGAAAACGTCGAAAAGAGAAGAACGGTCGTTTATAATTTGTGGTAACTTACGCGGGGAAATGGGGTTAGAGGAGTATAACAAGCCTTATGCCTTATCATGATAAGCTGTGAGCAACTTATTGTGTGATACATTTCAGAGTAGAAATCTTGTTTTCTTTAAAGAAGTGAAGAATCTAGTTAACCAACTTCGAAATTGTAACTAATTGCCTTTATAATAAATTATTGTGACCATCTCTACCTACTGTAGGGGCGTGACCGCTATTGTATTCACCCGAACTAAAATTATAAAGCAGTTAACGAACAATGAAGTTGCGTGAAAAGAAATATATGTTTATTATTATTATCATTATTATTATTATTATTATTATTATTATTATTATTATTATTATTATTATTATTAGTATTATTATTATTATTTCAGAGTTAAATGTTGAAGACTGTGGAACAAACACTCAGTTGTGCAACAGAAATGCTGTTTGTAAGACTATGGAGGGGTCCAGCATCTGCATCTGTCATCCCGGATACACTGGAAATGGAAAAATATGCACTGGTAATCATTATACCATTACTAACGACTCTATTAGATTCATACTAAGTAATTAATCTGCTATAACAGTTGACTTATATTTACAGCCACCCATCTGTTCCTAGTAACGTGACAGTAGCCTTTTTCCCCCTCCTTTTAGATATTAACGAGTGTACGACTAACGTTCATAACTGTGATGCCAATGCTTTCTGTAGCAACTCTGAGGGATCTTATAACTGCACATGCAGCCCTGGATACACTGGAAATGGAACATCATGCAGCGGTATATATATCATTTGTTTATTATTATAAAAAAAAACTAACAAAGTCCCTGATGCCCGTTTGAATATTCATGCTCGAGATTTTTGGGAGAGACAGAGATCTGCATTCTTCGACGTGTGGGTGTGTCACTATTTATATCATGGGTAACAAATTTGAGGCCTAAATTTTGGCTTAATTCACTATTCTCTAACTTTTTCGGAAAAATACCTGTTAGAATTCTCGATGCGCTGTTTCGTGTTTTTAGGTTTTCGAAAGAGTCTTTTAAGGGGCCTGACATCTTCATTTATAACCGGTTTTAAAACCTTGAAGCCATCTTGGCACTGAGACGTACTGAACGTCATTGTATTTAGCAATCATGTACTCGGCTTCCGATGTGAAATTTTGTTTTCGCGCCAAAATTAAGGAGTAATTTGCCACCAATGATGTTGCAGAAGACATTTGAAAAGGTATCGGAAGGACAGAGAACTATGTAAGCCAATTTATATCACAGAGTTCGTCAACCGCTTGAAAGATTAGATGCTGTAAACACAGCTGTGGCGAACACTTTCCTCATGAATGATGAAAGGTCGGCGACCGTTAACCATTTCCATGGTTGTCAAGTTACTATAAATTACAACAGCGCAAGCAAGCTGGGAAACGCTGATCAGCAGCAGTAGATGTTAAAATCTAATTCTGAACGACTTTCATTGAGACAAACTTTTGAAAACTCAAACTTTTTCGATTAACTTTGCTGTTCTTTCTTTACATGTGTTTGCAATCGATCTTTTTGTAAGTTTTGATTTTTGATGATATCACATGTTGTACACTGTCAATCAAAACACGCGTCACAAAATAAACGGATGGCGTTACAAAAAATTTTTCATCTAGCAGTATAAACAAATAATAGCATGATTTGTACGTGATATTTGGCATAAATACCACTCGTGATATTTCATAATTGTCTCAAATTTCACTCGCCTAACGGCTCGTGAAATTACGTATAACAATTTTGAAATATCACTAGTGGTATTTATGCCAAATATCACTACAAATTATGCTATTACCTATACTAATATCATGGGTAACAAATTTAAGGCCTAAATTTTGGCTTAATTCACTATTCTCTAACTTTTTCGAAAAAATACCTGTTAGAATTATCGATGCGCTGTTTCGTGTTTTTAGGTTTTCGAAAGAGTCTTTTAAGGGGCCTGACATCTTCATTTATAACCGGTTTTAAAACCTTGACGCCATCTTGGCATTGAGACGTACTGAACGTCATTGTATTTAGCAATTTTTTACTCGGCTTCCGATGTAAAATTTGGTTTTCGCGCCAAAATTAAGGAGTAATTTGCCACCAATGATGTTGCAGAAGACATTTGAAAAGGTATCGGAAGGACAGAGAACTATGTAAGCCAATTTATATCCTTATTTTCCAGCACAATTCGCTGTAATATGCAATGAATTAATAATTATTCTATCACAACAGTTTTTATTTGAGCAGTTTCTCACCAAGAAAAGCGTCGAGCCTGCGAAAAATGTGAAAAATGCTTATGACAAGGTTCGTCGTTTTCCAAACTTTATTCATTTTCATTAGAAAGACTTACAAGGAAAATTATGTTTTGTATCTCGGTTTAGCTTGTCCAGCGGGCTGGGTTGAAAACGGAAATCAGTGCTACTTTATACTCCCCAAAGAAAAGAATACATTTGAGGGAGGTTACCTATGCAAGCAACTCGGAGCAACCCTACCAATCATCAAATCAGCCGCGGAGAACGCCTTCCTTTTGAGTTTGATGGAGCGAAAAGGTGATCCACGGCTTGGAATGATAGCACCCAACGGCGACAACGTTTTCGAATGGCTCGACGGGACGGCAGTGGCCGATACCTTCTCTGCATGGAATACCGGTGAGCCTAACAATCCTGGATCAGAGAACTGTGCGCACTTGTACGTCAACGGAAGTGGCAAAGGAAAGTGGAATAACGATCCCTGTACGTCTTCCCGAGCTATTGTTTGCCAGATGGAGAAGAAATGAGTCTAGCCCACAGCTGCCGTGAAGCTACTGAAATTGTAGGCTAGTCTTGCTTGTAGAATTATAGTAAGCGATCATGATCAATACTCAGTGAGCCAAACAACAAAGAAATAAAGGTGTTGGGAGATATTAGTTGTTGTAGACAATCATTTGTTTGTGTTTTTGCATAATAAACTTAATTTAGCTGTCAGTATCTCAATTGGCATTGCCCTGAACATTACCATCCACCAGTGCCAATGATCATTTTCTAACTTAAGGGGGTAATTTTGGATATATCTCAGGGAACCCATACGCTGTCCTATTAAGCCAGTAGTCCATACTGAGTTATTCATCGCAATGTAATTAATTTGTCAAATAACTTTTTGGTTTGGCAGAAAATGACTTTAACAAATTTCGGTGCTAGTCACGAGAAATTTCGACTTGAAAATTAGCGGTATTTAAGCAAATTACCGCTCGCCTTAACTGTAGCGCAAGAAGACATTCACTTATTATCAGCTTATTCTACATCTCTTCCCGATTTATTTTATTATTTTTAAGAAGTTTAAAAGGAGCCATGACATCAATAGGGACCTGAACGAAATCCCACTGTTTCTCTATGGATTGAAAAAATTATTTACCATACTACCTTTATCACCAATAAGGTGAAATTTCAACAGTAAAGTTAGGAAGAATGAGCTTTTAATTGATGTAACGTATATTCTGGGGAAATTAAATCGTTGTCTATAACAGAGAGCTAACAACCACTAAGATTCAGGAACATAAGCGATTGCGTGACAGATCGTGACAGAGGTTACAATCGTTTTTTACGGATATTGAACCCCGAACTCGATATTGATGCTGTTCATAAAACAACAGCATTGTCTTCTGAGAATCTAATGGGTTTTGCGTATTATATGAAACTTCGTTCGTTCGAACTAGGCGAAATAATAGCTAAAAACATGGCAAGAACACCAAGAAGACAACTCGAAGGGCGACATCTGCTATTTGGAGAATATTTGTATTTGCGGAGCTGCACAACCCTACACGTGAGCTATCGAAGATGAACTTAACATCGATGAAGGTAAGCTTGTTTTAGCTATGTTTTTAAACTAGGAATTATTTTGAATGAATAATAAAATAATTATTGAATTCGGCTTTCGTACCATATGAAGAATTATGGAGATCGATCTCCATAATTCTTCATAAGATACCGACAGCCTCATTCATTAATTGTTAAATAACTTGTTGCTAATCAAATCCATAGTCCATCCGCTTTCGGAATTCCGCTGTCTGAGGTATCTGATCCTCGTTTTAGGGAATCCTGTTTTAACCTTACGGTCTGTAATCTTTATGTAAAATATTTATTTATGTCATGTTCATTCCCACGTTCTTTTTTGAACCTAATAGCTTCTGAGCAACGTACTCGTTTTTACATTCAGCGAAATTCACGACCTTCTGACATAATTGTTTTGCCCCAGGGAAATTAAAGACCTTCATTTTATTGGCAAGCAAGACACGTAACTCTTTGTGCGATGTTACACGAGTTGTGGGTAATCAAATTATAATGGCATTCATTAAACAGATCGAGTAAAATTTAAGTTTACATATAAATTTATAATTTTTTTTACAGAAGGGCAGGAACCTACGAATTATATGGCGAACTATTAATAATTAAACGAAATCTGCCGTGGTGGGAATTTACTGGTTTACAATCAGACAAACTACTGCACTGAAACTATTAAAAAATGAAACAGCGTCATTTATTAAGAAAGTTATATATTTAAAGGTCTTCTAGTATAAGGTTTTTAACACGACTTTCATAAGAAAATTTTTATTTTTTAGATGTTATAAGAGCTCGGTTTGTAACAATAATAAAAAATAATCGCCAAATTTTACATTCGCCAGTTTGATGCCATTCCAATTGTGACAAAGGAAAGGAGATGGTTAAAGATGAGCTCCAGAGAAATTGCTCTCGGACAAAAGCAAGTACTTTTTTGAACCGAAGAGTTTCTGAGCAATGTCACCAATTTTTTTATGCTAAAGGAGATTTTGGTGATGAAATGTTAGTGGTAATTTATATGATAATTTTTTCAATCCACGGCTTTCTGACTTACTTGGCCCCTTTTTTGAAGGGAAATATAACAAATTCTGATCTTTTTTTATAGGGAAACAAGCTAGAAAGACGACTTCTTGTCCGATTTCCGGATCAGAGTTGTTGGTAATCAAATAATCTTACTTAACGGAATTAAAATCATATTTTTGAGGCTTCTTCTATTATGAGAATTCATCAAAGATTAATCATAGGTGTAATTAATCAAAGATTAATCAGGTCTTTGGACGAATTTTCGACGGTAATTGGTTTCTGTATCGAATACGTCAAATTTTGATCCTTCAATTTACATTGTTACCAAGTATAAACGTTTCTTAGCAAAATTCTTGAATAGGGGTTATTAGATTTGTTAAATGACCGTATAAATATAGGTAAGAAAACAGGTACTTTAATATCCGAGCCTGCCCGAATTAATCTTTTTTGTTTAGTTTTAAGCGATGTTCATCAGATTTTGTCACTTTTCCTAACATTCAGCTGGAAATAATTTTCAAGATGGATTTTACGAAAAGTGGCTTAACCTGATGATCATTAACTTGATATGATCAGTGAATAACAGTGACTTTCCACTATGTTAATTTTTGCTAGACTGAGTTAAGCTTGCCAATTTTACTTTAACACATCTTATCTTTACATTTTATCAATGAATTATTACCTTACATTTCATTTAGCATTGGTTTTTTGTTGGCATTTAATTCAGTTGTATAGGAAATTCCTCTATAAACCGGCAAATCAACTTATTTAAACACTACAATGATGGATATTGCAGCGGACCCCTACTTTAAATACAACCTTTCATTAGCCACTTGCGCATCTCTAACTAAGCATAACAAATTGGAACCCCGTAACATGCGCATAACTGAATCGCATTATCTCTCTAGAATAAGGAACTTAAGGAAAAAAAAAACTACTGGAGAAAATTTTAGCAAGGAGGCCATTGTAGTCTTCAAATCTTCATGTTCTTTTTTGTTCTTTTACTTTGTCCGTTTGTATGTTTTAATCGCGATCGTCGTGCTAAAATATTGTCTTATTACGTTTCTTTTAGCAGACATACTTATTTTAAAAGCTATTTATAAGGCATCGGCTAATAAAATGCGTTGGACCATGAAATGAGTGCGTAATTGCTACTAGGTTTGAAAGTGTTCAGTCGTTTGAAGGCGAGTTAAATTAAATAACTCATTGAGCTGACCACCATGTATGCGACACCAACAGGGCCAGAGAGAGTCTACCTCGAGCTGCAACCCAAAACAAGAATTAAAGTCGATGAAGTATACGAACACGTCGTCGAGGACGAGTCTGGGACTGATGTTGCAGTACAAAAAGTTAATATGGGAAATGACAATCAAGATGGCAGCAATAGAAGACAAGCGCCACCAAAGACGTCGAATGTTTCGCGAAAAGATGTCCGGAAGATGCAAAGAATGCAGCTCTTGATCGTTGTCGCTGTGCTCATAACTTTCCTGACGGCGGTAGTCTGTTTGGTTTTCATAATCACGATAAAGTGGCCTCGAAACACTCCAGCTGTTTCAAAACAAGGAGCAGAAGAAGGAACTATACAAGGTAGGATGGGAAGCGAGTCTTATACCTAACTAATATACGTGAGATATAGTTCGCGGTAATTTGCAAGACAGTAAAATGGTTAAAAGCATGGAAATCCGACACTTTTGAGAAATTAAAGTTAACCATAGGAGACAGACCGGATACAAATTTTCAGAGACTGGCGTTTTTGTAGGTACAATTCGTCGCCACTAGTCAGTGATTAACCCACCCCTTTTTCAAATTAAGAATATGCAGTAACTACCTGCAAATATGATTGCCTTTGTCTCCAGTAACGTTTGGAACACTTTTTGAAATAAAAATGTATGCGGAAGTGATGTCAGCATAATTAATGCAATTTTCGCATTAACACCTGAAAAGAATGCATGTTTAGCCCTTAGTTCTTGGCATGGTCATTAAATCTTTCCTTTAGAACCCGGCTTGGCTATTCCTAGGATCATACATCTCGTGAGATATATGAAAAAAACTTAATATTCAATCTTCAACTTTTTGCAGGGTATAATAGAGAGGCATTTGTCTTGATAAATTATTATTACTATTTTTTTGATTTTGCAAGTCTAATTTTTGTCAAGCTATTCAGCGATGTTAAATTTATGATTCAAAACTCTTTGAATGATACTATTCTTATGTTATGTTGTCAAATTCTTGACCATGTAAGAACAGTATGGACAGCAAGCTATGGGATAACTGTTTTGTCTTTTGTTGACGTTTACAAGCCTTAAAATTGCAACAGTTTGGTTTTGAAGTGAGAAATTAATCATCCCAGTCATTTAACATAATCCGCGGAACTGAACTGCTGCAGGGATGCCATTTAGGGGTTGATATTAAAATTAGTTTTTATTCTCATGCAAATAAAACTCATTTTCAGAAGAAAGGTTTTGCACCTAGGAACTCGGAAATGGCCTAATCATTTTCAGTTGAAACCAGAAAAGCTATTGGCCATCATCGTCATCATTATTTATTATTTTTTAACTACCTTTTATTATTATTATTATTATTATTATTATTATTATTATTATTATTATTATTATTATTATTATTATTATTATTAT